ATCCTCCTCCAGTGCATCGATGGTGCAGTGGTGCCCGCACACACACCAGAACCACACCTCCTCCAACAATGCATCCACTGCTCCCCTTGCATGCGGCTGCACACCAACATGCATAGTTACATGCACATGCACATGTAACAGCACACAAACATGCATATTTACATGCACATGTAACAGCACAAGACCATGCAAATTTACATGCACATGTAACAGGACATGACCATGAACATGCACACGCACATGCACACCCAGAAACACATGCACACCCAGAAGCACATGCACACCCAGAAGCACAGGGGCATGACACCGAAATGGTGGGCCAGGGGGGGGGGACAGGGAGTGAGTGAGTGATGGGGCTGTCAATGATAGGATGTGCAGTCGACGAAATGAAGGGAGACATGCAGAGCTGTATAGGAAGAGCAGACGTAAGGCCAGCCAGCAGGGGGTTACGGCGGGGAGAGGGGCCAAGAGAGGGGGAGAGGGGCCAAGAGAGGAGGGAACGTTACAGAATGCAAGACTCGAGAACATCTTTTAGATAGCCTTGTGGAGCCAAGATGAGTTCAGCCATACAGGTGGAAAGAATGGAGCAACGTGGAGTGGAGTTGACAAAACATGCCGACACATAAGCGTTCTCGCATCAGTTGTTCAAAAATCTACTGAGACAAAATCTTAATCCTCGTGTGAGCCTAATCGTCTGCACCACCAGTTTATTTTTATCTTTTTAAATTTGCAGTGTAGGAATCAAATTAGCACCTATAAAACCAGCACCACTACGCTTACCTGCCTTTACATTATGTATGTGTCCTTTCAGAACAATCAATCTCGCGTTGACCATGAGGCAGAAGGCGTGTTTTTGAGCCGACTCAGATCCCCCCTCCCAACTAAATCGCGTCGCTTCCACCCTCCCCTCCCATTTCCCTCGCCCCGCGCGCCCCTCTCGCGCTCACCTTTACCATGAGGCAGAAGGCGTGGTCCGTGAGGCCCTTGCTGAGGCCTGGACCGTCAAGCAAAAGGCATGTTTGTAATCAAATCAAATTGCCTCTCACTTTCCCTCTTCCCTGCATCTCCCTCGCCCCACGCCTCTCTCGCTCTCTCTCTCTCTCCCTCTCGCTCTCTCTCCCTCTCTCGCTCTCTCTCTCGCGCGCGCTCACCTTGACCGTGAGGCAGAAGGCGCAATCCGTGAGGCCCTTGTTAAGGCGCCGTCCCACGCACGCGAAGTGCGACTTGTGCCCGCACTCCCACCCCACCACCGGCAGCTCGCGAATCGCCAGCGTGCACGTCGAGCACGTCCCCATCGCCGCGCCCCCCGCTCCTCCTCCCCCCCCGCCGCCGCCGCCGGCTGCGCCGCCGCCTGCGCGTCCGCTTTGCGGGGTCCTGATGGGTGGGAAGGGTTAGGAAAATCGTGCGGTCGGAAAGCGTGGGAGAGAGTGAAAGAGAATTTCAGAGAGAGATAGAGAGAGAGAGTGGGAGAGAGGGAGAGAGGGAGGGAGGGAGGGAGGGAGGGAGGGAGGGAGGGAGGGAGGGAGGGAGGGAGGGAGGGAGGGAGGGAGGGAAAGAGGGGGGGAGGGGGAGGTGAGAGGGGGTAAGTGGAAGTGGAGGAAATGAGGAGGCAGGCGAAGAGAGAAAGAGCGCACGAAACGGATGCGGCGGCACGCCAAGCGACTTTTCCGCACAGCAGCACGCACCTGGTCCCATGGTGCGCAGAGCTCCGCTTGCCAGCACCACCACCCCCACCCCCACGATGTCTACCGCCCGTGCCCGTCAGCGCATCATCTCCCACCGGACTCCCATCCCTGCCCGCGCCCGCGCCGTCCCTGCCCGCACCGCCGCCCGACAATCCCGATGCCGCCGACCCCGCAGCGCCAGCGTCGCGCGAGTCGCGCGCGTCCCTGGCGTCTCCGGCGGCGTCTCCGGAAAGCACGGAGGGGTCGGAGGAGAGGTGCGAAGCGACGAGCGAGAGCGGCACGTCGATGCGACTGCGAACGGCGTCCACCCACAGTCGCACGCCGTCCTCCGTCACCTTGAGCACCTCGCCGTAGCACCACCTCGTTTTGGAACACTTCACTAGAATCACATCCCCAGGAGCGTACGGACAGGCCGTCCAGCACTCCCGCTTCCCGCCGCCTCCCCCGCCCCGCGCGCCGGATCCCCCTCCCGCTGCTCCGCCATCGCCCCCTCCTCCTCCTCCCCGTCCCCCTCCCCCTCCGCCATAGCCTCCCCAGTCGTCATTTGTGTCGCCGTTTCCGTCGCCGTAATCGTCGTACCTGTCAATCCAGTCCTCTGGGATGGCTTGTCTAGGATCCAACGACACGGAGCGGTGCGACCTTAAACCACCGCCGCCGCCGCCGCCGCCGCCGCTACCAGCGGCTCCAAAACCACCGCCGAAACTCCTTTCGTATCCCGTCGCGCTGCCGTCCATTCCTGTCGCGTCCGATGCGGCGGTAATCCCAGCCCCCCATCGTCGACCGCCTTGCCCATCTGAATCCTGAAATCCCCTCATCTGTTTCGTGAATGTACGAACGGCTCTTAGGGCTGCGTACTAGCGACTGAAGGAGCTCAAGGAACCGTCAAGAAACCGTCAGACTCCAGGTTTGAGAAAAAACAAAAGGGACTTGTTAAGCGGGGAGGCCGGTCGGCGAAGGACGCTGCACGCGACGATGTGAACAAGACGCATTGGCTGATGTGTCGGAATCTGAGAAACGGACGCTAGATGTTCAGGACTGAGGTTCCTACTTCCACAGGCTGCTGCCAAATTAGGTTAAGCTGGTGTTCTTGGAAGGAGTCGGCTAAGGTAAGTCACTGAAGGCAAACAAGGTTCGTCTGTCGTGACGGAACGCCGATCAGAGAAGAAAACCGGGTAAGAACTTTCTCGGTTGGCACTGAGACGACTCGGACTCTCATTCCATGGCTGAGTGAAGCAGAACGGAAGCAGCTGTGTGGAGAAACCTGCTGAAGAATCAACATGATTCAACAATAACGTGAGCAGAGCAGAGCTGAAAGGGAGTACACTGTACATCAACGGAATCTGCTGCTCACAACCACACCTTCACCAGATACAGTACGGACGGGGGGGACTCGGGGAGCACATGAGGAGGGCTGAAAAAATGCTGCACGTGCTCTCTGCATTTTGAACCGTGGATGAGGTTGACGGCGGGAAGCACCCCATTTGTGAACGAAAAATCGCGAGCCCGGACAGATGGTAACTATAGTCTTCATTTGAGTGTGCGATAATCTTTGCGACGTCCAGACGATAGGCGAGAGTTCGTTAGCCAGTCTTGTGGTCCGACATCCCCACTGGGTCAGCTGAGACTTCCGCGAACTACTGTACCGACCCTGCTAAAAAGGGAGGTGGGTGGTTCTGTTGGAGTAGCTCCAGCTGAGCACTCTTCTGTTCCGTCGCAGACGCGCGGAAGCCAGGCTGCGAGAAGTTGTTGCGGCAGGACGTAACGAAGGGTAATTACATACTGGGTGGGCTTTATTAAAACATATGTTGCTTCCAGTCTCAAATTTATCCATTTGGTGTGAATTTCCGCTGATTCTCATTTTCGAGACCCAGATTATTGTCACGTTTCATGTCTACGTGCGAATATTTTCGCCACGTGTCCATGCTTGTGTAGATTTCATGTCTGCAAAATTTACGTGCGACTGAACCAAATGTTGGTTTTTCAGGGTGTAACAAAACTAAAACCTCTAGGGCACCAGGGACTTCTTTCGATGCATCAACCCTCAATACCATGCCTGTTCCCGTGTTTAGTGTTGATTCCTTCCGAATTGTAACGCTTTTAGGTCGTCAACCCTAAACACCTGGCAATTCCCGTGTTTAGGGTTGATGTTTGCCGAAATGTGTCCGTGTCCCTAGGGGATTATTTTTTTTCTGCTGCGTCAAAATGTTTCAGGGAAATCGGGTTGGACACGTGGCGAAATTTTTTGCATGTATCCATGAAACGTGACACTAATCTGGATGTCGCGTGTGAGAATTCGTCAAACATACCACTCAATAAAAACAATTACAAGTAGAAAACACACTTTTACAGTAATACCCACCCAGTATATGCTTACCCCGTAACGAAGCCGAATCCATGCTTGCATCTGTAGTGATTTCCGCGGTTTTTTGTTGACCACAACCCTGCTACAAATGATGCTCGTTTGTCGCACCCAGCTTTGCCTTGTGCTCAGGGCTTATAAGTGGTTTTTGCAATTCGCTAAGGTTTCGTCAATTCGCACGTAACAAAATGGGCTTATAAAAAGCAAGTGTAACTCATCGTTGACTTTTTTACTTCAGTCTTCTCAGTCAAACCTCGGTTTCTGTTGTTAGTATTGGCTGGTTTAGATGGCAACTTGTTCGAGGTGCTTGTAAATAGGGTGCAGCTTCACGGCACAAAACCAACCGGGTGCAAGGTTTCCATCCGATGAAAGGAAAATTCGCGTGCAGGAGGTGAGCATCACCTGTACTCCCTCGGAACTGCATCCAGGTTGGCCGGTTGTGTTTTGGGAAATCATGGGATCGACCTAGAGCGTGTTCTGATATGCTGATTTGTATGACAGACAACTGCTATGGATTGGAAGGACGGGCTAAATGTCGCTTATCAGCGCTTAGCTGTGACACGTAGCATAGATGGCGGAAACAGGCGAGCGCGCTAGGGCACCACTGCAAATACTCCGCTATTAAACTGTCCTCTCATAACGAAGCATAGGTAGGCCAAACACACACCAGCATTAGTATATTTTTATGCAATCTCTCACCAATGTTACTACCTCAGTACAATAAAGACTGCTCCATCTGAGAAAGGGTTGCAGAATCGTGGCAAGAGAGTCCAGAGTGTGAATAAGTGAGGTAATTTCTGGCAAACAATCTATTCAGACCCATTGATAAGATCATGTCCTGATGTGCGAAACCCTAGGCGATGGTGAATATTGACGTAACTTGGCGGTGTTTAATACATAATTGAATATTTCCGCCGAACCTACTTCGTAATTTCGTAATAACCGTGCATGAATAACAAACCCATTTCATCATAGTTCCATGCACCGTCTCGTATCCGCTCGCACCTTTGCACTTGTGCAGGTTGATGCACCGACTTCCTGTCAGCCAAGAAGCTTCAAACTGGAATGGCAGACGCCAATGCAGGATGCAATACGTTGTTATGAATGTCGTCGATTGTGAGTTAGAATAAATGAATGTATTCATAACATGCTAACATTATGTGGCTTCTGCTAACCCAAAAGAGGAAGTTTTCCAGAGATTGCGCATGAAAGAGGAGCGTTGTTGTACGTCAATGAACATTACAACATAAGTACCTTTACGTCACTCAAAAGGCATTTTTGTATTTATTACTACTACCGTATTGATTGGATCATACACCGATACATCAAATGTACAATGTAAAGAACAACCGTATCTGTGCTGCCCCATATGAGATGCATATCGCTTGAAAATGCTTCAGAGCGAAGCTAAGGCTCTGTTCCATATCCATTTGCCTGCCACGTTGGACTTTATCCTCATGAGCAATCTCTGCTCCTCCACCATCGATGCGTGAATCTTGTCCTCCTGCCTCAAACCTCTCCGCTTCCGCCACGTAGCCTTCCTCGTTCGTGTGTACAACTTTGCATGTTGCCGAAAACTTGTCTCGATCAGCTGAAGGAACCACCGTGCCCTGAACCTCCTGCCACGAAACACCGCCTTGCAACGCTCGACCCATAGTTGATGTAGGGTGATGGCTACAATTGTTGCTCCTGGAAATGTCGTGTTGGACCCTGCTTTCCAAAAAAGCAGGACCCCCAGCGAGGCCACTGCCCTGGTCGGGTTTATCATGCGCAGGGCCCGCTTGAGAGCTGACAGCACCACCTGTATTTTCGGGCAGTCATAGAGACAGTGCTCAAGCATTTCGACTGCCCCGCAGTGTGGACAGATCGGGCAGCTGCTGAGGAAAACCAGCCGCTCTCCCACCTGAAGATTGCAGTTGTGGATTCTGACAAGCACATCACGCGGACCAGCACAACACGCGGACGACTTGGCGTAACCAGGGAGCCACGGATGCTCAACACCCGCTTCTAGTTGATGTAACCGCCCCACCTTCCCGACCAGTTATGCTTCCTGGCGGACGGTTTCTCCCCCAACCTACACAGGTCTTGTATCTGCTCTATCGACCTAAGCTGCCCGTCTAAAAAAATGGGAAGCCTAACTAGGTTCCGTTCTTGAACGTTAACAGCCAAAGGCCCAGCAGGGGAGACGCCGAGCTAGGACCCACTGACTGCCCTACTCGCTCCTCATTCAGCAGCAACGCCTTCCAAGCCGCTGGGATTGCCTCCACCACCTTCATCGCCAGCGTGGCCGGACCCTCGCCCCCAAGAGCCCTCGCCAGCTCCTCACAGATTTTGAACAAATACTCACCACCCCCTTCCCTGCTGATCAGGTCCCCAATCCTAGCTCTAAGAACCGATGCGCCCCATCTTGCCCCCCTGTAAGATCACTTACTTTTCCCTGTTTGTAGCCAGCCCCGAGATTCACTCATTTTTTTCCAAAATATTTTTCCGCCGTGACAATCTATTGCTTGCCTTCCATGACTAACGTCGTGTCGGCGGCGTAACCGAGGTACACAAGCCGCTGCCCCACCTTGCTTATACCCAGCTTCCGCTTCTCTACCGCCAACGGACCAGTCACTCCGGGAACCCCATCCTCCACAGCACCGTGAAGATGAAGCCCCAAAAAATGAAGCCCCATGAAACTGAATCAAAGGCCTTCTTGGAGACCATGAGAAGCCAAAACCGGTCCTCGTTTCCCGTTCCGTGCCGCGTTAATGATGTCCGCTACCAGTCCGACTGCATACGCAACGTACCTGCCTGAGAGAAAACCGTACAGCTCCGTCGATATAACGTGGTGTAGTACCTTCTTCATCCGATCCGCCACCACACGCTCCAACACCTTGTAAGTGAAGTTAAGCAATGTTATCGGCCGGCAGTTGCTCAGCTGATATTTATCTCCTTTTTTTGTATAGCAGAATCGTAACTGCCTCCTTCACTTTTGTTGAAAGTGTGATGGACGCCGCAAAGTCCTTGGCCAGCACTATGAAACCCTTGCCCAGCAGGTCCCAATGCTGTCAGAAGTAGCAGTGAGAAACAAGAATGAAGAAAGGAGGGTTTGCACTAGCAGCAGTTGGCATACATATAGGAAACCCTAATTGGGTTGTACTCGCTATAGAGTACCCCACTGCAGGCTAGACAATAATAACATTCTGACACACCCCCATAGCCAAAGTGGGGTGTAATCAGCACAATGAGCAAGCATAGCAGTAGTTCACAATTATAAGCAAAGCTAGTGGTAGTCACAGCGGGCAAGTGAGGAGGAGGAGGGACTGTGAGAGGAGAGAAGATGGGAGACGACGGCTGAAGCTGCAGACACACGGGCAACAGGAGCTGTTGGCACAGTGGTTACCGGGACAGCGCCCCGGACTACTGGAGTAACTGGCTCACGGGCTACGAGGAGCTACAGGAGCAACGGAC